AAGGCAGAACAACAGCCCAAACTCATATGGGCGTGTTGTCTTGCTCTCTATGGAAGAGATCGAGGGTGTAAAGTAGTCAAGTGTGGCCTACCAGAAGGACTAAACGATATGAATTGGTCCGAGGAAGATCCAGCTCAATTTATGCAAAAACAATTTATGAATAACGAAGACATCCTCGATCTCTTCCATAGAGAGCAAGACAACACGCCCATATGAGTTTGGGCTGTTGTTCTGCCTTTTGATTGAGTAACACAGCCTTTTGTTGTACATTTTGTGCTTGTTCACTATTAATCTTCGTACCCTTATCCAAATCATAGACAAATGCATCATGATAATTACAATTACCATGACTCGTTTTCGACGGTATATGATTTTGTAAACACTTCGGACAAACTTTGACCTTTTCATCGTCTAATCTCTTTTCTTCTATTTCTTTTTCGGCTATTATCTGTTCATTGGTTTTTTTGAATTCAATATCGTCGAGCAATGTACTTCGTAATAGAAGATGTTTGACGATCATAACAATCCAACTTTCTCTCGCATCGTCCATTGATGATGTCAGTGAAGGAAAAAAATTGCATTGGCGTAAGAGCGCACTGGTTGGTTAGTGTATTAGCAGAAATGGCGAAAGCGTTCGTACTAAACACCTAATATCAAATACGATATTAAAAATTAAGTACGAATTAAGAGAGAATTCGCGATCACGCTGACAACTTCATTAAAATGCAACACAACTGCCCTGTACATTTTACTACATATTCGGAATCTACATGAAAAACGGGGCTTACGAAACTTTTTTGAGCAAGTTGGGACTTAGTTTGACCGAGTTATCCTCACTTCAAAGTGAGTCGGTCGAAGAAACCAGGAAATTCACTTTCTACTAGTGTTTCTCGGCTAACACCACCATTTTTATCCATTTTTTTCTAGCGACATCTCATATGAAAGAGCAAATGAATCTGCATCGAAGCATGTGCATTTTAGATTTTCAAAAACCAAACTGTAGTTTGAAAAAGACTTTTGACGAGGAACATCATATTTTCTCAAACCCGTTTTTGACGTGAACAAAGTTTTCTGTACATGATACAAGTTCGGCTTACAGATCTAGTATAGTGCATCTTGTAGAGAACTGAATTCTTTCTGAAATGGATCAAAACAACTCCAGAAAAAAGTTTGTAAAGCGCCGAAAACCGGTTTCAGAAAACATGGTATTCCTCGTTTGTGGTCTTTTCTAAACCACAATTTGGACTTTGAAAATCTAAAAAGCAAATGAGTCAGTGCAGATTCATTTGCTCTTTCGAACGAGACGTTACTCGAACAGAACGGATACAAAATGGCGGAGTTCTGCTCGAAGTACCTGTACAAAGTCAATTTTCGGGTTTTTTCGATCTACGCACTTTGAAATGACCATAACTGGGTCAAATAAGTCCAAACTTGTTCAAAATTGTTTCGTAAGCCCAGTTTTTCATGCCGATTCTCAAAAGTGAGATGACTCGTAGCTGTATCCAAGTTCATTTCACACGCACTTTATAGAATGTGTTTTTCCAAAGGAATTTATTTGATAAATAACGAGGAGATGAGAAGTAAAAATAGGTTGTGATAGAAAGAGAAAACAAAAAGAAAGTTTCAATCTTTTCAATAGACCGACGTGTCAATGTCAATGCCAATGTTGAGGTTCCAAAGTCCATGGCACATATGAAAGTTTTCACGAAAGTGATGCGAGCTTATTATCGGTCTTTGTTTTCTCCGGTTTTGCATACATTGCCTGTATTTCTGGAGGCAATTTATCGTATGTCAGCTCAAGTCTAACGCCATCCTGGCGAAAAGCATCGTATCATTCTTCCGTATCCGACGCAACCGCGCCATCCCACGTACTCCAACCAAATATGATATAATCAAACACTTCTCGAATCGACTCGAGCGAGTCGATCGTCACTTTCGATCAACTTTCGACGAATTATTTAACGACGTATTATATACTGGATGCCACTTTGTAAATGGTGCTGATTTCAGGGATTCATCCCTCAGTCAAGCAAAATTTACACGTGTAAGATTTGATTGCAGTAAACGTTATGCTGGTGGAACTGATTCTCTTGGAAAGATACATGTCTTCTTTGATAGTTCAACACTGGATGCAGCTGAATTTCGTCTCTCGCTTCTCTGTGATATTCGTTTTAGCGAAGCAAATTTGTCTAATATTAACTTTACTGGAACAATGTTTCAAGGTGTCATTCAATTCGAAGGAACAAATTTAACACAGGCAGATTTTCGCTTTATGGAAATTACTTACCCATTCAAATTAGTGATTTTCAACAGTAACTTGCATAATGCTTATCTTAATGATTACTTATTTCAACGGCAAAGTAGCCTTGGAAATCTAAAGATGCACAATGTCATTCTGCCCAATGGGACTTGGCTTATGAATAACAGTGATTTAATCCTGAATGGCGATGCCGAAACAGATGTGAGTGCTTTTTTTCGTTAACTGAGGTTTTCATGACCACGGTCACCACGCATAAAATGGCGACATGCCTTTCGAGAAAAGGTTGAGGCGTAAACGCGTAACGCCATCGCTCATGACGTCGCTAACTATGTTTCCGTTTTGAGATCAGGAGAACGTCCGCCCTGCAAGATCCAGGTAAAAGTCACCACTGCTAACGTAGTTGTGCATGAAAGTGACTTTTTCACAAAGCAGCTCTAATTGTCACCCCGTGATTTCACCTGACTTGCTATTCACTCATCTGCTTGTACACCTTAGATATATACATAGCCGAAGAAAAAACAAAGTTTTTGCGTTCGTACTTGAACGGTGGAAAAAATAGAAAGTGAAATAACTGAGCAATAACGTAGCAAACAAGCCTCTTCTGGCACTTCCATCTGCAAAGAAAAGGATGATCAGGCACGCACCTACGAATCGTAGGTGCGTGCAATCGTAGGCTACGATTGCACACTTGGACGGCTACGTCTAAAGGAAACCGCCGTTTGACAATGAAAACCGCCAGAATCGCGAATCGTTTAGAACGCGATCTCTGCATCAATAAAGTTCGTGATTCCCCTAAATGTGGAAAAACCGCGGCGTTTTCGGTAAGAAAATTCGCGAGAAACGCGCTGTGTTTTCCAAAAATAGAGGCGCTTCGATTAGTTCTAGGTTTTAGGAGGAATTCGATACTGGCGTCAACAGCTGGTTCATGGAAGGTGTAGGACGCTAATTCGCGAAAACCCGCTGTTCTAAAATGCAAAAAATACACAAAGAAACGCGAAGAAGCCCACAAACACCATTTCGTTGGTGAGAATCGGCAGTGTTTGATACTACCAGCGAAACTGATACGCTTTTCTGATAACTGTATCTTGAATACCGGGAATTCCTGGCGAGAAAAAAAATGTTTGGACGTTTTTGCGCGTTTCTTCACTGTGTGTAGGCGTCCAAGAGAGTGCTAATCGACAACAGGAGGTACGACGAGAAAAATAAGATCCAATCAAATTTCAGACCTATGCAAGGCCTGATCGCTATCTCCGATATAGACCAAAACGGTCTATATCGGTGACGCCATAACGTTGCGATCGTCTTGTACATTGGCGCGCGAGCATACACCCGTATTAACACTTTTTTAAAGATATCCATTTTATGTTCATTTTCTTTTCGAAAAAGTGTTTAGCTTCAGCAAATACAAATCACACTCCGTATTGGAATGGATATGTTGATGCGATAAAACCGACAATTTCTGAGAATACAGAACTGATCAATAGTTCGTATAATGGTGCCGAGTGCAATTTTAATTTTACAGTCTATGATACAACCAAAGGAGTTGGTATGTATCAAAATATTGACATTAGTAATTTCTCAGTTTTCATAGATAACGGGGAAGCGGAATACAGATTTTCGACTGATATTAAATGTAAAAATGGCAAATTTGGAATGGGTATCTACTTTCACGATGTAATAGGAGCAGAACTGTCATACTCATGTGAGTTTTTCTTGATGTTGTAAATGCTTTGACAGTAATCCTTCCGACTCCTTTCTTTTTTTCTCTTACCTGCTTTAGTTAATGCTTTGGCGAAAACGGAAGCTTTCGTTTGGCAATCATGGATTGTTACCGAAAAGATTCCAAGATTTATACGTCATTTAAGACTACAACTTCTTCGGTCTGGAATCGGCCAGTTTTATTTGGATAACATCCAATTGTATATCATACGTAAAGAGAAATAAGCAAAGTTAGAAGTTCTGAAGTTGCTTAGCATTGTGTTTGATTTTTTTGATGTAGGAAAACCAGTTTATACATTTTTAAATAAATCTTGGAAGTAAGCTGTCCTTGATTTTTTGCAATTAGATAAATTAAAATCGAAAACCACTTTTCGCCTATCATGTGCATAAATGTAAGGCTCGGCATAGCAAATTCTCACAGTTGCATTCAGACTTTTTTCTGTTTCTACACCGCAATCGAAGTTGTACAGATTTGGCGAAAACGCCAGTGCGCAGAACTCACTCCAGAGAAGACAGATCCGACGGCATTTTCCATTTCTCGGTTTTAGTTTTTCAGAAAGGACCCCACCGGATAAGGGTCGAAATCTGGCCCCCTCTTGTTCCAAGCTAGTATCATGTTATATTTGTAGAGTGGTCCTTATCTCATCAGAATATGATATTTGTTTGGTCCTAGCTTTAGACTAAAAATAAAAAAGGATGGTTTTGCTACTGCATCTTACTGGCAGGGTTTAGTTCCGTAAAATGATTTTATCTTTTGAACAAAACAATATTTTGAGATGCAGCCTTCACCAATAAATAGAGCATATCAACTTCTATAGAATACATTGACAAACGTAAATTTAATGTGTTTAAACAACATTTCAAGAAGCTTTGATTTGGTTTGGCAATGGATTACCAATATTGTGTACTTAACTTGAATGAAATCTTCTTCATCTTCTTTAATATGTTCCAAAACAGACACCGTAGTCGATGATATGAATAGCGATCTAATAAAAGCCCATAGATGGTCAGTAAAATGGCAGTTGCCTCTGAATGTTGATAAATGTTTATGTATGCTATTTACAAGAAAGTTGTTTTATTTTCGATGAAAGGAAATCAAAACTGTCACTTCTTACTCAACCATCACAAACATCGATTATTATCCATGTAAATCGAATTCCCGAGAATGAAAATAAGTTCTATGAATTTGACATGAATCTACATGATAGAATTGAAGTTCACTTTGTTTACCAATAACAATTATTAGTGAATATACTAACGTTTATCATACGTTTGAAATGCAATCTTACAAAAATATAGAACAACTAAAAGATAAACTATGTATGGAAACAAAAGATCAAAAAATTAATCATGAATAATGTCGAAGTTGAAAATAATTAATTCTTTAAAACGTAATTACACGCATTATGTTCATCCTTTGCATTGCATACCGAAATGAATTCCTAGCGAAATCAAATTGTCGGTGAATGTGTATTGAGCAAGCCATGGTTTTAATTATTCAGTTTGATGCTGAATCTGAAAAGATTATTTTCAGATGCTGGAAAGAAGAGCGAGGTAGACAAACGGTTTATGTTCTAAGACAGGATTTAATATTGTTGTGTCAAGAAGAACGGAATTTGTTATAAAATTAGAAGACTTTCTTGTAAATAGCATACATAAACATTTATCAACATTCAGAGGCAACTGCCATTTTACTGGCCATCTATGCGCTTTTATTAGATCGCTATTCATATCATCGACTAATTGATGTCGATCCTGATTACTTAGATACATTGTGGTATCATCTGCAAACAGCCTAATTGTGCAATCCATGTCCTCGCCAAAATCATCTATATAGATCAAAAATAAAATAGGACCGAGTAGTGACCCTTGGGGCTCCCTACTCTACTTTACATTTTTTATTTTTTCCTTTCCTTCCTCTCACTTCTCACATATGTTTACTTTTTTATTTTTTAACTCGAATACTGTTCTATGTTTTACGACTTTGATCATTTCTAACAGTGATATAATGGCTACAGTCGTTTCTACGTTAGAATGATAACGATTTTTGTTTACTTTTTACTTTTTCTTATTTAAATAAAGCTTAAATCAACAACAATCTGGTGATGTACAGTCGCCAAGAACAGGTTATTCGAATGTACCAAACAAAGATCAAATATTGCAAGGACTTATTGACCACAATATTAATCCAACAACCGTTTATTCGTTCGATAAGCAATAAAAAAAGCCTTCAATATTTACATGAAGACCTTGCCACTCGACGGCGATTGTGATGAACGCGATCATTTTTATCGTATTTTGAATAGTTGTGGTGCCAATATTTTGCTGTATGAATCAAGATATGCACAAGGAAAGCCATTACCATCACAGTACATCTTAACTGAATTGTGTAAAATGTTTTTTCGTACACTAGGCACTCGCTATAAAAATGAATTCGAGAAACACGCGCGTGATGAAGAATATGAAGTTTATTTCACAACTGAAGATGAATTTGTTCATAGTTCACAAAATATGTCAATTACAACAACAAATAAACGTGTGGCATCAATCTCAATATCTCGAGCGGAAAATTCAAAATCGTCAATAATCGATACCTTTCATACAATTCTTACCACTCAAGTTTCAAATGTTCATTTGGATCAGTTCATTGGACCAGTTCAAAGTGATATCAGTTTGGAAAATGATTTTACTGTTACGAAAAAAATGATCTCAGTTTCGAAAATGAGCTATTAGTTTTTATTTTATTAAAATATGGATTCGTAAACTGTATATAATATAAATTATATATACTAGATAGAGTGAAGTGGAGGTGTTATGGCACATATTAAAGACGTGCCATAAGAGACAATTGTATAATAGTCATATATATATTCGTTCTCTATTCTTCTGCTATGGGTAGTTTCTCTTCTTGTCATATATGTATCTGTATTGT